CCAAGGCCTAGAGTCCCAGTACTCAGGAGGTGGATGATCACAAATTTGAGGCCAGCCTGGTCTACATGGCGAGACTACATTTCAAAAAAAAACAAACAGTAGCCTAGCACTATGGTTCATACCTGTAATCTCAGCTACTCAGGAGGGAGAGATAGAGAGGATCACAGTTTGAGGATTAAACAAAAAAGTTAGCAAGACTCCACTCCATCTCACCTAACTAAAAAAGAAAATAGCTGGGCATGGTGGCACCTACCTGTCATCCCAGCTCCCAGCTATATGGAAAGTGTAAACAGGAGGATTACCTAGGCCAGCCTGGGCAAAACCACGAGAACTTATTTGATACATACTAAAGCAAAAAGGGCTGTGGGCACGGCTCAAGTGGTAGAGCACCTGCCTAGCAAGCATGAGGCCCTGAGTTCAAACCCCAGTACTGCCAAAAAGCCCAAAAATGCAGAAAATGGTAACTCTGATTATGTAACATCCACACATAGTTCTTTATTCCCTTAAGTTCTTTAAAAGACACGACTGTTCAAATGCTTATGTGCATGTGGCAACGCAGCATGCAAGACGTGCACAGCACAAAGCAGAGAAGGTGGCGGAAACCCTGCCGGTGACAAGTTCTCCCGCTTTAGGTGAAGCAGTACATGAACTGTGAGGAACCACGAAAACTCGAAGGAACACAACTAGTGATACTGATAAACTAAAATGGAATACTAAAAACGTGCAATTATCCACAGGCAGAAATATAAAATGAAAAGCAAAACGGAAGACTTCAATCACTTTATATCCATTTATGCACCAGGGAAAACGCAAACTGTCAGCCTCGCTATGAAAGTTACACCCAACTATGTACCTATACCTTCTATGTACCTTACCATGGACCTATACCTTCTGGTTACAAGATATACTTAACATGTAAAGACAGGTAGATAAAAACAAATAAAACAATGGGAAAAGACTGTGTAAACAGTACGCGGAAGAAAGACAGAGTGGAGGTGGGGTGCCACTGGCTCATGCCTGTAATCCCAGCTACTGAGGAGGCAGAGATCAGGAGGATCGAGGTTCAAAGCCAGCCTGGGCAAATAGTTCGTGAGACCCTGTCTTGAAAAAACCTATCACAAAAAATTTGGCTGGTGGAGTGGCTCAAGGTGAAAGCCCTGAGTTCAAGCCCCACTATGGCCAAAAAAAAAAAAAAAAAAAAGAAGAAGAATGGAGTGGATGCATTAATGTAAGACACAAAAAGACTACAACCAGGCTCGGAATGCCCGCCACGCTGCTCAGTACCACGGAGGCTCCACTGTATATGCTTGACCTTCATTGTTCCTAGGCAGTAAGACAAGCTTGTACTCAAGGTCAGTAACAAAAATGACTGGTCAGTCACAAGGAATGTCATATGCGTGTGTGTGTGTGTGTGTGTGTGTGTGTGTGTGTGTGTATGAATATATTCATCAACCAAAAGTGAATAATTATTTTCCTAACTTTTATATAACAATAGTACTGTACTTCTCTTGTGGGTATCTCATTTCCATAAAATGACATAAATGAGAATGGAACTCATTAAAAAATGAGTGGTTGAGTTTTAAGTAAGAAATCTATAGGACTTGTTTAACCCCTTAGAATCTTGCTAATTTATAATGAAATCAACATTCTGCTTTTCTATACTGTTACAGCCATTTATTGCTTTCTACTTTTCTTTAATTTCCTATTAAGTGCTTTACGTGTAAAAATAAATTGCTAATTCAGAGATTGCTATGAAAAACAGAAATCCCTTCAACTTAAAGAAAATATTTGGACTCTAAAACATAAACTATATCCTTGTATATTTATGCAAAAGGATTAAGACCAAAGAAAGAATCTGCTTGCTTATTAAAAATGCAAACATTACCTCAGTCACCCAAACTTGCCCGACCACTGCCTCTGCAGATCACCCACCCACATCAGCATCACATCATAGGACATTAGGGAACAATGGGGAACTCTGTGTAATACTTGAACATATTGTTTTGAAGGAATAAACTGTCCTTAACTTGAATAAAAGCTTCTAAAATCAAAGCTGGGGGATAATGCCTTTGCTGGGCAGTCCTTTCTACTACTTTGAGAAATAGCCTCTTAACGAAAGCAGGCCGGGGGAAAGAGACAAGAACATAAAGGCGACAGTGATGGGTGCCCCTGTAGTAGCCCAGCAGGCAGAGGGCAGACTTTAAACTCCAGGCAGAACAATGTCAAGGCAGGAAGTGCTGCACAAACGCCACACCTAAAGCCAAACCTCGCCTTACTCCCGCCATGTCCTGTTACAGCCTAGAACTCTTTCCCACAGACTTCGCTAGGACAGGAACCTGAGATTCACGTACAGTTCTCACAACTGGATGTCCTGGTGCCATCGTAAGATGGGCTAGTACTGTATGTAGCTAGGTAACTTTAGGCAATTATGTAAGCTGAGTCTAGTGTCTTAAAGTGGAAAACGGAATAGCTTTGACATGGAGGTGCGGAGGGGATTTTCAGCTGTTAGCATAACTGTATTTACTGTTTTTACTCAATTTTCTCTGCTGCCTGTCTTCTGTAATCGCTATCCAAGAAAGTCACCATAGATGTTTTACCAGCTGCCATTTCTAGATCCACGCCATTCTCACCAATCTCTCCCCCTTCCTTAGCCAAACCCCAGGTCAGCTCTTCCGGTCACCTGCTCCTCACCGGCTTTCTTCTCTACCACACCTACTCCCAGTGTTCTTACTAACCAAGGCGCAGAGGCAGAAAGACAAAAGCCAGGGCAATGCAGCTAGGGACTGTGACTAAAACCCAGTTATTAGCCTAGGCATCAGTGGCTCATGCCTATAATCCTAGCTAGTTGGAAGACAAGAGATCAGGATTGCAGTTCGAGGCCAGCCCAGGCAAATAATTCATGAGACCCTATCACAAAAATACCCAACATAAAAAGGGATGGTAGAGCTAACACAAGGCCCTGAGTTCAAACCTAGATACTGTGCCCCTGCCCCGCCCCCCAGCCCAGCCAAAATTTCGACCAAGTCTGATTCGGTCACAATGCATTAGCTGTCTCATAGTAACTATTCATTTTAGGGTAGATGATTTTAAGATGATTTTAAGTCTGCGATTACCTTCTCTTTACATCAAGCCCTCTCCTAGACACCTCTCTTACTAGTAGGTTGTACTACTATAAAATAGGACTTGTTTCAAATGCCTAAAAAACTAATCCCAGAAAATTAAGTATATTTCAAAGTTCTCTTCATTTTGCTTTGAGTAATTCCCTAAGGTGAAGACAAGGATTGATCATATAAGGCCCCACACAGGACTGGAAGACTGAGGATAACCAGAAGGGGTGTGAAGAGTAACTCCAGAGGGGATGGAATACACAGTACAAGTGTCCGGCTCTAGTTTCTAAAGACAAAGGCTATGTTTTTCATGTGATTACGAAGGGTATGTGGCATAGGCTTCTTGGAGGAGCACATTACTCCTCGAAATAAGGAAGACTAATGAGAAGATGGGTAACAGTGTAACGTGTGGTGTTAAGAGAGTGCTTAGCAAAGTCTAACCCTGAGGCCTCTGGGGGAGACTGAAAACTGTATTTCCTAAAGTAGATGAAGTGCTAGGAAGAACAGGATGATGTACAGATCACGTAAAAAAGCACCATTTGTTTTGTGAAGTACAGTGTGGAACAGCGTAACTCTTGTAGGACTTGACATCATAAACAAGGTTCAAGTTCAATCTCAGTATCTGACAGTTGTCTGATCTTGCAAACTGTTCGAGCACACTCACTGATATAAGAATTGAAGGGATGATAAGTGTATGTGTGTGAGGGTGTGGTATTTAGTACAAATAGCTATATATATGTAAGATGCTTTGTTTTTATTATTATACTTGATTGTTGTGCACTGAGTGTTAATCACCTCCAAAATGCATGTTGAAACCTAATCTACAAAGTCATATGCTCACGATGTTTGGAGTTGGGGTCTTTGGAATGTAAGTAGGATTAGGTGAAGTCATGAGGGTGGAGCCCATGATTACATTAATGGCTTAACAGAGGAGGAGGAACATCCCAGTCAGCCAGCTTGCTCTGCCGTGTGAGTGTGGCGTTCTCCACCATCATGTCAGCTGGAAGACCCTCACCAGATCCAAGGAGATGCCAGGGCACCTGAACCTCTTGAAAAGTGAGATAAATAAACCTCTTTTCTTTATAAGTTACTCAGTCTGTGCTAGGCGCTTATAGTGACGTTCTAAGACACGGCTACTTAAACTGGGTCCTTCTGTTCATTATTTCCTGATTTTGAGTGGGGGCAGGGAGCCTAAGGAACTACTACAGTGAACCCACCACTTAGTGGAGGTATGAAAACAAAGTTATACCCTTCATGTTAACCACTTTGAGATCAAGATATGCTAATTAGGTGGGCAATCTCTCCTCTCCGAAACACACTCTCCACTCTCGTCTCTTACAAAAAGGTTGCCAGGATTAATTACAAGTGTATAGGCAGGGGTGTGGCTCAAGTTGTATAGAGAATTCCTAGCAAACAGACGCCCTGAGTTCCAACCCCAGCACTACCAAAAAGAAAAAATAAATCCTAAGTGTATCATTGGTGATGGAGTTTTCTATGAGTCTGAACTAGTCAAATTATGGCCCATCCAGATGGCAAGTAAGGAAATCCTTTCACGGTGACCAAAGAGGGAAGGGCCAACAACATCCTTCCTCTTCATTCATTTACACTCTTTCAAGTACTCAGCAGTGAACAAGCACAGAAAAGTTCCTATCATCATGGAGCTTACCTTTTAGAAGAAAAATATACACAGTGAGCAAATTTACACTAGGTCAATGGGGGATTAAGTGCCACAGGGAATAAGGCTACAATTAGTCAAGGAAGGCTTCGTGGAGAAGATGCCATTTCAGGAAAGAGCCAACGGAGAAGAGAGGGTAGGCCATGGAGATGTGCGGAAGGAGTGGTGGGCCATGTGAACCCTCCAGCAGTTGGGATGAGACAAAACGCAGACCTTACCTTTCAAAAGGGGCTGGAAAGTTGGAATCTCCTGCAGCTTGATGACGTCGGGGTCATTGCTGACATTCCGGGAGGCCTGTGCACCCTGGGCCACGACCACAATATCATCCATCTTGGCTCTGTGCTTCGCTGGAGAAGGAGTCACTGGAAATAAAGGCACACTGCTCAGGAGTCATTAATTAGTCACTTTGCCTCGACAGAATTGTTTCCAGCAGTGATTAAAAAACAGATTTTGCTAGGCCCTGGTGATTCACACCTGTAATCCTAGCTACTCAGGAGGCAGAGATCAGAAGGATCGTGGTTTGAAGCCAGCCCAGGAAAGCAGTTCATGAGACCCTATCTGGAAAAATACTCAACACAAAAAAAAAAAGCCCCAATGGAGTGGCTCTACCTAGCAAGTGTGAAGCCCTGAGTTCAAAACCAATACTACCAAAAAAAAGCCTATTTTTTACTGAAAATGTGGTGGCAGCTGGAATGGAAGAATGAATTATTGGGACCTCCATTTTCTATATTTTTTAAAACTTCAAACATTACAGGAACATATAATGTATAAACTTCTTTTATAACTGAACACATTTTTTGCAGTACTGGGATTTGAACTCAGAGCCTCACACTTGCTAGGCAAGTGTGACTGCTACAGAGGCAGGTCAGTTTCAAGGTTCCTGGGGAGGGAGACCATAATGGAGGGAAGAGTTACAAGCTATAAAGGATGCCCTAGACCAACACATCCACCTCCCCAAGTATTCTCCTCGTTCATGCAAAAACAAATCCTTTAAGTGTTTCCTACTCTAGAAGGGAGTATTTTTGGCTCATCATAGTCATGTCTCAAATGTGTGGTGATCCCAGGATGCCACAGAACTGCTCTGCCTTCTGGAAGCTAGTCTCCTGAGACTGAGGCATGCACTTTCTTAGGGAAAAAAAAAAAAAAGAAATCTCTGCTACTTTCATTGCTCTGCAGGAGAGGTTTTGTGACCTCTTTTGTAGTTTACCTAATATTTTACAAAAGCGATGTCAGAATCCTGCTACAAAATGATTCCTCCTTCCCTGGAGAAATGGGAACGTCTCAACATCCTAGCTCACCTGTGTTAGATATAACATGGGGGTCTGGCAAAGACATAATCAATGTGTGTACAGCACTTGACCAGGGGAGGAGGCAAATCCTAAGGTCAGAAATAAGCCAATGGTTGATTCCTAGGAGAGTAGGCATGTTAGAAATAAAAAGATGCCACTCCCCTTTCCCCACACTCTGCTTCTGGCTAGACAGAGACTGGGAGTAAGACAGAGCCATTATTACTGAATTTGTTATAAACAGATGTGACATTCTGGACCTTCCAAGGAAATGGGACAGTGCAAACATGGCACTGCTGCTCACCATACAATCTGCTCCAATTTAGCCCACAGAATGATCAAAGTCTTGAAGGACACCGTTCAATGCTAATCGCCCCTAGATCTATTAGCTTCCCCCATTTCTGAATAGCAAACTCTACCAAGAAGGGCCAGGCTCTCTTTATGCCCCAGATTTACCAATTTGGATTAGCAATCCCGCATCTTATCCTGGGCACTCTCAGAAGTCCTAGATGTTCACACACACACAAGGACAAAAGGAGCAAATGCCCCTCAAGGAGTGACCAGCCGTTTTACTGCACACTCACTGAAGTCTCAGCAAAACAACCCTCCCGTTCCCACGTTAAACTGAGAGAAAAGGAACATACAGAGGAGAGGGGAACAGAAGAAACACCAGAGCCTGGCCAATTTCTGCAATAACAGAAAAGGGTCCAATCCACCTCATAAGGGGGGGTGGGGGGAAACCCAGCAGTTTCTGGAAACATTTGCACGCAAAGGTTCGGAGTGACTGCACAGTTATCACACCTCCCTCTGAAAAAGAACCTCTAAGGCCCATTAAGAAAACCTGGGCGCTGGTGGCTCACATCTGTAATTCTAGCTATTTGGGAGGCTGAGATGAGGATGGAGGCCAGCCTAGCAACCCAGACCCCATCTCCAAAATAACTAGAGCAAAATGGACTGACGGCCTGGATCAAGTGGTAGAGCGCCTGCTTTGCAAGTGCAAAGCCCCTAGTTCACACCCCAGTTCCACTAAAAAAGAAAGAAAACCTGTCCTCGGGGGTCCTGTGCATGGCTCACGCAAGGTAAGAGCCAAACCTCTGGACGTCAGTCATGCGTCCGAGAGCCGAACACGAATTAGGTCTTCTACTAAAGGTTAGCCCGCAGCTGGGCGAGGCGGCTGTTGGAAAATGAATGATGGGCACCGGCGTCCCCGCGGCTTAGGGGAACGCAGGCCAGGACAAACGGACACTTTTCTCTATGCGTGGCTATCCCTGTCCCAGGCCCCCCGAGGCAGGGTCGCGGGAGAGAGAGTAGGTTAGGACACCGACCTGAGGAGCTCAGATCGTTGGCTCGGCTCTCAGCCTCGGAGCTCTGCTCGCTGCCCATGGTGCCGGCAGCGGAGGCCGCGGAGGTGTTGTGGGCCGGACGGTCACCCCACCCGCGGCGGGACACAGGGCCGAGGACCGGGACGGCCGGCCCAAACCACAAGGGGCCTGGGATGGCGGGGGCGGAAGCTCACTCTCCTGCTTTAGGGGAGCCCCAGGAGAGGAGGCCGGGGGACGCCGGCTTGGCCACGGCTGCGCGGACGCCGCCGCGCGCTCGCTCCTTCTTGGACACCGATTGGTGGCGACGGCTACGCGCGGCCGTCAGTTCCGGGTTAGGAGGCCACGCCCCCTGCCTGGGGGCGGGGCCGGGAGCTACCCCGCCTTAAAGGGCCCGACCACCTCCTAGCCACAACTGCCCCAAAGAGTAAGCCCTTTCTTCTTATGATGATGCGTCTCCTTTAAGTACCACCCTCATCTTAAACACTTTAATACTCACCTATTAGGACTTTACAAACTAAGTATTTTTAACCCAGTTTAACGAATGGAAAAAGAAAAGTGCTGAATAGACCTAGGAAACTAGCAAAAGGCGAGGAAGGAGCACAAGAAATGTAAAGAGGGAACTACTTCCAATTTGGGCAGATCAAGGGTGTAGTAGACCTGTAAAGTCATGCCATCAAACAGCTCCAGGGCTCTGGGGCTCTCTGAATTTGGAGATTTATTTTTGTTGCTTGCTTCAAGAAACGACAAGCAAATACCCTGAGATTTTATTTGTACAGATGCAATCGCAGGAGACTCAAATTGACTGGTAAAGTGTAAGTCCCACTGTAGGGTATCACACACTTTCCTGTTTTACTTCTTAATTTCCACAACAACCTCAAGGCTAATAATAGGTTATTTCTTCTTGGTCGCCAGATGGTAAGAGATGGAACCATTTAGATTTCAAACGTCTGCTCTTTCCTCAACTCCATGTTAGAATATGAGAAAATGCAAATGAATATAACTTCATATGAAGTTAGAAGTAAAAACTGCCTGAGAGATCAGGGTGTGCCCCTAGGAGGTGGTGTTTGACTATCTAACTATAAATATATATTTGTTTTCTTTCTTTGAGACAGAGCCTCACTAGGTAGTCCAGGCTGGCCTCAAACTCATGATCTTCCTGCCTCAGCCTCCAACAGGCTGGGATTATAGATGTAACTACCATGCCCAGTTTGACTATATTCTTGAGGTTTACATAAGCCACCAGGCTGATAGGACTGGGAAAGGCTCAGTAAGCAATGAGACCCTTCCCACCAAGAGAACTCTTGGTTACCTCCCAGATCCACCTGTTGGAGTGAGGAGGGGGTTGAGACAGGACAGGCCATGAAGAATAACTCATTCTGGCTCTCATCTCCACCCTCCTTCCAGGTCAAAGTCTATTTGTCTTGTGATGCATACTGCCATGACGGTGTTTTTTTATGCTTCCCTTAGATGAATGGATGAGGGAAATTCTGTCCCATCAGCTAATGACCAGATAAATAAAATGTGGTTATCTATATAGTGGAATAGTATTTGGCAAAAAGGGAGGAAATAAGCTGCTGATAAATGGTACAACATGAATAAAACTTGAAAACATGGTGTTGATTGCAAAAGCCCATCACAAAAGGCTGTAGATCCCTGTCATATGAAATGTCTCCCATCCAAGTACTGACCAGGCCCGACCCTGCTTAGCTTCCGAGAGCAGACGAGATCGGGCGCGTTCAGGGTGGTGTGCGGCCGTAGACTTATATGAAATGTCTAGAAGAGAACTAGACACAAATAGATTGTGGCTACCCAAGCTGAGGAGGAACAGGAGGACGAGAGTAAACCAGAAGTGACAACTGATGGGTTTATGGGCTTTCTGGAGGTGATAAAACAAAGTGGGTCTCTAAATTCCCCTGCCTGTGCTTAATAAAAGGTTTATTTACTTACTTATTTTGGTGCTGAGGTTTGAACTCAGGGCCTTCTGCTAGCTAGGCAGGCACTCTATCACTTGAGCCACAGTCCCAAGCTCTTTTTTTGCTCTAGCTATTTTTCAGGTAGGGTCTCCTGTTTTTTGCTGGGCCAGCCTGGACTTTGATCCTTCTGATTTTGTCTCCTGTGTAGCTGTGATGACAGGCAGGCACTACCACACACAGCTTTTTATTGGTGAAGATGGAATCTCACAAACTGGTTTTTTTTTTTTTTCTTAACTGGCCTCAGACTGTGAGCCTCCTTTTCTATGCCTTCTGAGTAGCTAATATGACAAGCCTGAGCCACCAGCACCTGGCCAAAAGTTTTCTTTGATCATTATGTTCATCAGTGTCCTTTGTTCACTGTTGTGATTAAAAAAAATAAAACGAAACTGGCTGGTGGAGTGGGTCAAGTGGTAGAGTGCCTGCCTAACAAACATGAAGACCTGAGTTCAAATCCCAGTACCACCAAGAAAAAAAAAATCAATGATGACACATTCATTGTACTGAAAAACTGAATCTGCAATTTCTGCTTAGTGCCTAGGGTAGGCTCTACCCCCAACTGCTCTAGGATGCTGAAGTATGTCACCCGCAGAAATAAAATCCATGTACCCTTGTTGCATCAGGATTAGTGCACTGGGAATCACTCCAGAGCCTACTTTTCTTTGATAATGCTTTGATATCAAGATCTTATATCAAAACTATTGCTTTGATGTCAACACTGTTGTAACTGGAGAGGAGGTCATCTGAGTACAGCTAGTGGACCTGGTTTCACAATGGACCATTGTTCACACATTATCTCTGACAAGGTATATGTCTTGTAGTGACGGGTTAAAAGCAGGAAGCTGTTGATGGCACACATCTAGAGTGATAAGTGCTGTCTCTCACACCAAAGTGAGAATATTGTCTACCTTTCTGTCAGTCAGGAGTTTTATGTTTGGGTATATAAGGAGGGGGAGAGAGGGAAGCAGTGATTCAGAAACACTTCTACAACCCCTGTCCGATTTCCATTCATTTGGCAACAAATATATTTTAGTTAAATATTCCTAAACACCTATTCATACCAGGTACTATGCTAAGTGTTAGCAATAGGACTTTAACAACTGTAACAGACATCCTTGTTGGCCATCACTATGATAAAACCTGCAGACAAGCTATATGCTTCCTCCAGTCTTGCCCTGCACACATTTAACTCAAGAGTTACCAAGTCTAGGCCTGGCATGGTAGAACATGCCTGTAATCTCAGTTATTCTGGAGGTGGAACTAGGAATATCATGGTTTGAGACCTTCTGGGGCAAAAGCAGGACACCCTACTTGAAAAAATAAAGCAAAAAGGGCTAAGGGGAGCAGTGTGCCAGTGGCTCACGCCTGTAATCCTAGCTACTCAGAAGGGAGCGATCAGGAAGATCGTGATTGGAAGCCAGCTGGGGCAAATCGTTCACGGGACCCTATCTTGGAAAAAAAAAAAAAAAAACCCATCACAAAAAAGGGCTGATGGAGTGGTTCAAGGTGTAGGCCGTGAGTTCAAGCCCCAGAACCGGGGAAAAATAAAAGGGGGGGCGGGGAATGGCCTGGGGGTTGTGTCTCAAGTGGTAGAGCGCCTGGTTCAAACCCCAGTACCTCCAAAAAAACAAACAAACAAAAAACTTGCCACCTCTAATCGGGACCCTCCATTCTCCAATCGTGAAAATCGGATTCTCAAAGGATGCACTAAACTTCTGATGCAGAAACTGCGCTCAGGGGTCGCCTGTGGGGTGGCGGGGTTGGGGGGCACCTGTGTGTCTGGCCCCCTGCCCCGCAGCATTTGCGGAGTGCTGCCAGGGTGGCCGAGCCTGGGATCGCGATGTCACCAGCACCGCTCGGCTGCTGTCGCTGTCGCCGTCGCTGGAAGCAGCTCCGGGTTGCCGCAGGGCCGCGCCCTCCCCCGCTGCAAACTTGAGAGGCTCAGACGGAAGCAGGAACTTGCGGAGCGCAGAGCCTGCGGGCGGAGCTGCGGAGCCCCGCGTCCCCAACGCGCCCCGCGTCCCCAACGCGCGCGCCCCGCCAAGGTAAGGTGCCCCCGACCTCCCCGGCCCATCCGCGCCCCAGCGGGGCCAAGGGCTGCCGCGACCCCCGTGTCGCCGAGTGCCCCAAGAGGTCGCCAGGCCGGATCGGGAGCTCCTGCCACAGAGAGCCCAGGTTCCCGGTCATCGGAGGCCGGGAAGACTTGCCACGCTTTCTTCCATGGTGGGCTTCTGTCTTCCCGCTCAACCCTGCAGTGTCGCAGCCTCTGCTGGGTGACTGTGCGCGTCCGATGAATCGGTGCGCTGAGGTGACAGGACATCCACTGTCGCTACTTAGGTGCCAGGAAGTTTTAGTGACTCTAGCAGGCCACCGTGACAGTCAGGTGTGTCCTGTCTCCCACACCTGTGTCCTTTCCCCGGCAACAGGACTGAGCCGCACTTCAGACCTTCCAGGTGAAAGTAAGAATGGATTAACAGACTTGATTGGTGGGTTGTAGATCAGTGGTGGAAAGCTTGTTCTTTCCATCCCCAGCACCACAATCATAATAATAATAATAGTAACAACAACAGTGCCTGGCCAGGTGGGTGGTGCCTGTAATCCCAGCTGTGAGGGAGGCAGACATTGGAGGATGCTGCTTCAAGGCCAGATGGGGCAAATAGGAGATCCCATATCAACCAATAAAGTGGGAGTAGTAGCATGAGTCTGTCATCTCAGCTAGAAGGGTACCATAGACAGGAGGATCCTGGTCACATTATCCCGGACATAAACACAAGGCCCTATGTGAAAAAAAACTGAAACAAAAAGGACTGGGAGTGTGGTTCAAGTGGTAGAGCGCCTGCCTAGCAGGTGCAAGGCCCTGAGTTCAAACCGTAGTACCACCAAAAAAAAAAAAAAGATGATTCTAGAACTGGTAGGTAGGTAGGCTGCTTATACCCCTTCATAGGTACTGTTCGCTTCTAATCATGGATGGGATATGTGTTTGTGCTGTTAGTTCTTTGCCAAGTTTTAATAAAACATCTCAAATCTACTAAAGAAAAAACAAATTTAAAAAAAAATACTATTTTGTTTCCCTTTCTAAGTTGTGTATAAGTAATTCCCGTTGACCTGAAAGAAATGAAATCTTTCTTCTTTGGTTTGTTAAAGAGACAAAACTCTTGGATGGTTTTCTATTTTTGTTCTAGAGAGAAATTCCATTGTCTGTACAATCTTCCTGAAGCAAACTGGTACCAGAGGGAAGGCCATCTTTAGCCTCTGAAGGCCAAGACCAAACGGAAAGTCAAAATGCTCTTAGGGAAACAATGGAGCTGGCCTTACACCTTGGTGATAATTTGTTTCCTGACACCAAGGCTGTCCTCTAGTGAGAACTGCCTCACCGAGAGTCTGGAAGATGTGGTCATTGACATCCAGTCGTCTCTGTCTAAGGGGATCAGAGGCAACGAGCCCACACATTCGGTAACACCAGAAGGCTGCCTCAGTTCTTGCTGTTCTACAAGAGACATAGCAGGTAAACAGCATGGCACTCTCATGCCATGTGTCTTGTGACAGACACAGTTGGTGGATATGGGTGGCTTAGCGATTCTGACCTGGGAAGAAAGGCAGGTGACACAATCGCTGGGGAATCATCCCCAAGCATACCCCACCCTCTCCTAAGCTCTGTTAAAATTACTGATGAGTGTGAAAAGTCTGAGAAACCATGGTGGTGTCATGCCCTAACGGGTGTCTAGAATATTCTATTTAAATGCTTGTTTTCCATCGTCACGGGATCCTAAGTCTCTATCCTAGTAAAACGGTGGGAGTTTTTCAGTTTTGCTTACAACCCTTAGCTGAGTGAAAAAAAAAAAAAAAAAACCTCCAAATGTACTAAGTTCGTACTCTCTAGGAACTACAGATAAAATAAGAACTAAGAAGAACAAGTCCTCACTATCTGGGAGCCTAAAAGAGATAGTGAACACTGGACCAGGGATTCCTACTTGACTTTGCCAACAAAATCAGATGTTACTCCTTTTTTTTTTTTTTAAGCAGTACTGAGATTTGAACTCAGGGCTGTGAGCTTGCTAGGCAGGAGCTCCACCACTTGAGCCACGTCCGCAGTCCTTTTTGCTTTAGTTATTTTTCAGATAGGGTCTTGTGTTTTTGCCTGGACTCAGACCCTTCTGTTTACATTTCCCACTTAGCTGGGGTGACAGGTGTGCACCACCACACCCAGCTTTTTATTGGTTGAGATTGGAGTCTCACTACTCTTTGCCTGGGCTGGCCTCAAACTGTGATCCTCCCCATTTCCAGAGGTCAGGAGGCGGTAGGACATTGAGTTCATCATGGTGGCTGGTGATTTAGCTACCATGCCTATGTAATGAACAGTTCCCCAAAATGAGGGGGATTGGAGACCCTCCAAGTAAAGTGATGAACCCATCCAGGCGCTAGGGGGGTGCCATAACCCAATTCTACAGTGATAGAGGCTCCTGAAGTTGGTACTTTCCAGACCTCACCCTCCTGGGCTTCTTCATATGCAGCGCACACAAGGCCCTGGGTTCAATACCAATCACACCAACATGAAAAAAAAATCTCATGTCCTTGAAATAAAAACTGTAACATTAAGTATAGCAATTTCCTGAGTTCCATGAGTCGTACTAGAAAAGCATCGACTTGAAGGGCAGGGTTGTGGCAAGCCCTGAATTTATAGACAAGTCAGGTGACCCGGAGACCTGACAATTGCCACTGGCTTTTGAAGGGAGGGCAGTCTTACAGGACAGAGCTTCAGGCCTCTGATGCTGACTCTGTGTGGTTAGAGTCAGAAGTGAGCTGACCAGCAGGCTAGCCGGTTCCTGTGAGAGAACTGGAGAGGTGTGGAAATTGCCCTGTACTTAGGACCTGTGGGAAAAACCCCTGCAGTGCCTCTCACCCTTCAGAGTGTGCTTTTAGAGATCACCATTTATATAGAAAGTTTAGAGGCTTACTTTAACTTTCACTTTTTTCTTTGAATGATGATATACACATTCCCGTGAATACAAACATCTGCTTCCAACAGGACAAGCTATGGTAAATGTGACTGTCTCCTGGCAACACAGGTGGCAGGAGCCGTGGCTCACATCTGTAATCCCTAGCTACTCAGGCAGAGATCAGGACAATTGTGGTTCGAAGCCAGCCAGGGCAAATAGTTCTCCAGACCCTATCTCAAAAAAACCCATCACAAAAAAGGGTTGGTGGAGTGGCTCAAGGTGTAGGTCCTGAGTTCAAATTCCAGTACTACAAAAAAAAAAAGGAAAGAAATGGGGGTTTCCTGCCTCACTCTGCAAGCAAAAGGGCTATTCTTGCTTTACTGTAGGCAAAAGTATCTGTGGGTCTTGGTGAATGACCTCAAGCTTTTCCTCATTTATTGAGCAATGGGTTTTAACTATTTAACATTCAAAAGGTTCTTTGATTTTTTTTTTTTTTTTGGTGAGGTTGGGTTGGAACTCAGGTCTTTGCACCTGCAAAGCAGGCACCCTACTGCTTGAGCCACCCCTCCAGTCCATTTTGCCCTGGTTATTTTGGAGATGGGGTCTCCTGAACTGTTTGCCTAGCCTGGCCTTGAACTGCTGCCCTTTGGATCTCAGCCTGCCAAGTAGCTAGGGTTACAGGCATGATGACAGTCATAGTCTCTAGAAAAATGCCATAATACAAAGGGCACAAAAGTTTCACATATGATTTGGGGGGGTCTTAGGACCCTCGCCTCTACCTACCTGCGGAAAAGAATGATGTGTTAGGTACTTTCTCATTGCTACACAAAATAGCTGACAGGAACAGCCTGAGGGAGGAAGGGTTTGCTTTGACTCTCAGTTTCAGTCCATCATGGTGGAGATGGTAGGAAGGGTGGAGCAGAGTAGTTCTTATGGCAGCCAGGAAGGAGAGAGAAAAACAGGTGGGGGCGGGGAAGAGGGAGAGAGGAAGAAAAAAGAGAGGGGAAAGGGGGATGCCTATGTTATGGGCTCTCTCCTTTTTCCCCTTTTATTTCAACCTATGGGATGATCTGCCCACATTCAGGGTGGTCTTCTGGAGACCCTTGGGGACACACCACAGGTGTGCTTGTCTGGTCTCCCAGCTGTTCTCAGTCCAACCCAGGTGGTGTCAGAGTGAGCCACGACAAGTGGTCTAACCATCAAAAGGCATCCCATTGAGGAAGGAAGGCAGGAGGCCGTCTCTTGTCACCTGACTGGTGCAAAGAGGACATAGTAAACCCCTCAGAGGCTGACTAAGCCTCTTTCCAACCTGGGGAGGGGGCTGATCTGAAGCTACTGCCTGACTGGAAGAAGGGGTAGTGATGAGTGGCAGACCATGTGGTTTTATATTCAGTCAAGGCAGGCACTCTACCATGCAAGCCACACCCCCAGCCCATACTAATTGGTCTGCATGCCCTTACCCTTCCCTGACGGGGGCTATGCTGGTCCCTCAGGGGTCACAGGCCACAGTGCAAGTCAGGTTGAGGATAAAGCCCAACTCTAAACCATGATGAATAGAGAAAATAACTTCTGTTGGACACAAGAGGAAGAAATGAAAGTTAAGAGTGAGAAGTGAGGAAGGAGGAAAGTAGAAAAGCAAAAATCATAACACAGGCCAGGTGTGTTGGCTCACACTGGTAATCCCAGCTACTTGGGAGACAGAAATCGGGAGGATGGTAGTTCAAGGCCATCCCTGGCAAAAACTTAGTGAGACCCATATCCAAGTCAACGAGCCAGATGCAGTAGCGTGAACCAGGAGGTGTAAATAGGAAGACTATGGTCCCAGCCAGCCTGGCATAAACTTGAGACCCTATTAGAGACCATAAAGAGCTGGGAGCAGGGTTCAAGTAGTAGGGTGCCTGCCTCGCAAGCACAAGGCCTTGAGTTCAAACCCCCAGTACCACAAAACAATTTAAAGAAATAAATAAAAGTGATGAAAAGAGAGGAAATATGAAGAAGAAAACCAAAAGAATGGTACTGATAAAAATAAGATGGAAGCTAGGTACAGTGGTGCACACCTGTAGTTCCAGCAACTTGGAGGCTGAGGGGGGAGGATCACTTGTGCCCAGAAATTTGAGATTAGTCTGGGCAACCTAGCAAGACCCTTGTCCCCTAAAAAAGTAAATAAAGGAAAGATGGTCTTTGTATTCCATATACTTCTCAGATCTTTGTGGAAGGAGGTAAGAGATCTACAGTGATTAACTTACTCTACTCAGGAAAGCTGGGTTCAGTTTTATGGGTGTCTGAGATGCCTTTAGGATTCAAACACACACATCATCAAGATCTGAGCCATTTAGCATGCACAGCTTGTGAGTTGTGTAGACTGCAAAATGTATCCGAGTCTGTCTGGAGAAATAGTTTAACAATACAGGGCTTATGAATTGCAGAGAATTAGACGTTCAGATTTGTCAACCCAATGGCCTTTAAAATTGTTTTACCCAAAAAAACTAAGGAACAGGAAATGACTGGGTGGCCAGCTGAATGCACAGAGGTGTTCAACATCCTCCTCATCTAGCCTGTCATTGCAGGGGACAAAGTGTGTAACCTGATGATCTTCGACACCCGCAAAGCAGCAGGACAGCCTAACTGCTACCTGTTCTTCTGTCCCAGCACGGACGCCTGTCCTCTGAAGCCAGCAAAGGGCCTTCGGACCTACAGGGTCGTCACAGGTAGTACCCACACCGTCCCCTGTCGTTGGTGACTGCAGTTATTTTAAGGAGGTGGTTTCTGTGAAAGGTGTTCTACTAAAGTAGCAAAAGGGTTCACAGGCCCTGATTTGAATCTTTCTAAAGATGGTATCAGAATATTTTGAATTAGCAAACATTAATATGGGGGAATTTCATGGTGACAATGCCATGCATGTGTGCAGTTTACTTTGGACACATTCACCCCTCCATGATCCGCCCATTCCCTCCCTCCTCCTCCCCCTTTCAAACAGTGTTGGGTGGGTTTCACTATGGTGTCTTCATGTGTGCATGTACAGTGTGCTTCCGCCCACTTCACCCCTCAGTGTCCTTTCTTCTCCCCTCCTCACTCTAATCCGCCCCCAGATACGTTCATGTCCACTTTTCATCATCGCCACCATGTCAACCTTCCACAAATGAGTGACATTTGGCTTTTTGAGCTTGGTTTATCTCACACAACATGGTGATCTCTAGTTCCATCCATTGTCCTGTGAATGACGTCATTTCACACTTCTTTATGGCAGGGTAGTTGACTTTATATATATATAAACCTTTTTTTTATTTTTTGCTGTACTGGGGTTTGAACTCAGGGCATTCACCTAGAGCCACTTCACCAGCCCTTTTTTGTGATGGGTTTTTTTGAGATAGGGTCTCATAGACTGTTTGCCTGGGCTGGCTTTGAACCATGATCCTCCTGCTCTCTGCCTCCTGAGTAGCTAGGATTACAAGTGTGAGCTGCTGGCGTCTGGCTTTGGTAAACCCTTTTTTTTTGGACAAGGTCTTACTATGTAGCCCAACCTGACCTTGAACTCACCATCCTCCTGCCTCGGCCTCCCAACTGCTGGGATTACAGCTGTGAACCACCATGCCCAGCACCTATGGAACATTTTTGACGACTCCCTGGAGACAGTTGAGTAAGTACACAGGTCTCTGTGGTGTGACAGTTTTCCAAGGGTTAAGATCCACATGCGTATGAGAAATTCCAGCATATCCATGACTAAGGTGCTCATTATTTGGAAATCACACTATCTGAAATCAAACCCACTCGGTTTTATTGACTGAACCTGGTGGGACATTCATTTTAGAATCGTTGCACATCTGTTAGGTACCGATTTTCTACAAACCACTGAAAATACAGTTCCCATATCTCTTCAGAATGCAGAAAATAAACAGAATAATGTACTGAATTGCAATATGTCTTGCTGAGATCTTGGCTTGCTAATTTTTCAGGATGCCATACCTTCAATATCAAATTTATAGGTACTGGGATTTGAACTTGGAGCCTCATGTTTGCCAGGCAGGCACTCTACCACTTGAACCAGGCCCCCAGTGCTTTTTTGCTTTAGCTACTTTGTGGATAGGGTTTTACATTTTTGCTCAGGACCAGCCTCCGACTGTGATCTGCCTTCCTGTGCCTCCTGCATAAGCCTGGATTATAGACGTGCATTACCATGCATGGTCCCCCTTTTCTTTTAAGAGCCCAAATACATTTAATCTCTATAAGATGTTGGCTTGTTTATTATTTACAGTAATATTTCATTTTATTTGAGTTTTAAAGTTTTTATAATACCCTTGATTACTAATGCCGCATTCATTTATTCAATAAACAAATATCATTTATCATCCCCTATATGCCAAGTGTTTTGTACACCCTAAAGATAAAACACGAAGCATGAAAAGCACAGTTCTTCCTTCTGAAGTTTGTGTTTTAGGGGAAGAGTTAATAACCACAATAAATAATTTTAAAAAAAACCTCTATGTGCTATGCAGAGTGTTGACGTACGGCACTGCAGTACATGACCACTGAGGGGACCCTCTGGCTGGGTGACCAGAAAAGCCCCTGCGAAGATCTGAAGAAGATAGGGGAAACTGACACAGATGGGTTTGGAATGTTTGAAGACAACCGGCAGATGTAGAGTGAGCTATGCAGAGAGGCAGGGGTCCAGGTCACAGAGAGTTTTGTAAGCCAGAGAACGAATTTTCTGGGAAGTTACTGGAAGTTTCTAAGTAGGCATGTTACATGGTGTTTCAAAGGTGACTTTTTGGGCTGGGCATCCTGGCTCATGTCTGTAATTCCAGCTACTTGGGAGGAAGAGATCAAGAGGATCGAGGTTCTATGCCAGCTCAGGCAAAAAGTTAGTGAGACCCTATTTCAACCAAGGCAGATTTGGTGGTGAGCATCTGTAATCCCAGCTACTGGGAGGCATAAGTTGGAGCACCACATCCAAAGCCAGCCCCAGGGAAGAAGCATAGATCCTATCCAAAAAATAACTAAAATAAACCAACAAACAAAAGAGGTTTGAGACTTAAGTGATAGAGTGCCTGCCTAGGAAGCATGAGGCCCAAGTTCAAACTCCAGTACCACCAGAAAAAAGTGGCTTCTCAAAGCCAGCTGTGCCTGCTCTCTTGGGAATGGACAGTGAGGCGCAGCAGAGAGGAGACAGAAAGGCCACCAGGGGGCGCCATGAGCTAAGAGCAGGTTGATGGACATTTGGGGGCAAATGACACCGAGCCTAGACATAGTGTGCAATGGACTGTCTACACCTACAAGACGTGTACACGTTAGAATTGAAATTACTCCATTAAAAAGAAACGATGTCTTCTCCTTGGAGCGAAATTCAGTCTAGATTTGCGTTTGGTGGCTGCTTTCTGGAAGGAAGAAATTTCCTGTAATCAGCTGACTAATGTGTACAGACTGAACTCTGTTCCTTCTATAACACCATTGCAGTTTGGCATTGTTTAATTGTTTTGGCAGTACTGGGGCTTGAACTCAGAGCCTCACACTTGCCAGCAGGTATTTCATTCCTACCAAGCACTGAAAGAATCGAATTCAGAAAGTGAGTAAAAGTTGGGTGGGTGGGGAGGCGGGTCTTGTTTGCTTGGCTGGTTTCCAGAAATAGTTCCTTGTTTTTTGACTCAGTGAAAGTTCTTGAAAAAAAAAAAAAGAAACTAAGGAGAGGAATTGAGGGCACAGGCCTGTGGCTCACGTCTGTGGCACAAAGCACCACGCCTGTGCAAATACCAGTGGGCCAGGCCGGTGCCCAGGTGTGGACTATCTCAGTGCAATGCCAGGATCTTCCCCAGCAGGTGACTCTTACAACATGTGGCCTGGGCCTGGCTCTGCTTTATCACTCAGCTCCTGTGATTGAGAAAGGAAACAGCTGTTGTCGTTCTTGTCAGGGGTTTATTTGATTTCTGATTCACACAGAGTATTTGTCTAAATAGCCTTTCTTGTTTTACTTTAAGATGAAACGTGTTGCCAGGTGTGGTGGGTGTCGTCTGTAATCCCAGACTCAGGAAGCTGAGGCAGGAGGATTGCAAGTTTGTGGCTAGCCTGAGCTACATAGTGAAACTCTGTGGAAGGAAGGAAGGGAGGGAGCGACAAAGGGAGGGGAAAAAAAAAAAAGAAGGGAAGGAATAGGGAAAGGGAGGGGGAAGAGAAAGGGAGGGGAGGGGAAAAGAAGGAAAATGTCTGTCTTTTGAAATGCGATGGGATTGAAACCCTATCATGCACTCTTAACCACTGGGCTAACTTCTAGCTCCCAAGTCTTTTCTTTCTTTCTTTTTTTTTTTTTTTTTTTTTTTGGTGGAACTGGGGGTTTGACCTCAGAGCTTGGTGATGACAAAGCAGGTGCTCTACCACTTGAGCCACTCCAGTCCATTTTGCTCGGTTACAGGAGGATTGCAAGTTGTGGCTAGCCTGAGCTACATAGTGAAACTCTGTGGAAGGAAGGAAGGGAGGGAGCGACAAAGGGAGGGGAAAAAAAAAAAAGAAGGGAAGGAATAGGGAAAGGGGAGGGGGAAGAGAAGGGAGGGGAGGGGAAAAGAAGGAAAATGTCTGTCTTTTGACAGCGATGGGGATTGAACCCTATCATGCACTCTACCACTGGGCTACACTTCTAGCTCCCAAGTCTTTTCTTTCTTTCTTTTTTTTTTTTTTTTGGTGGAACTGGGGTTTGACCTCAGAGCTTGGTGATTACAAAGCAGGTGCTCTACCACTTGAGCCACTCCAGTCCATTTTGCTCTGGTTATTTTGGAGATGGGGGGGGGAGTCTCACAAACTATTTCCCTGGGCTGGCCTTGAACTGCCATCCTTCTGATTTCAGTCGCCCAAGTAGCTAGGATTACAGGTGTGAGCCACCGGAGCCCAGTTCTCTTTCCTTTTTTTTCTTTGAATTAAATATCTGCTGGCGTTTATCTCACGATGATGCAATGGACGTGATATCACGTTCTTATTTTTACTCTTCACTGTTGGAGGAAAGAAATTCAGGTGTCTGAATTCTATATTAAAGTACTGCTGGGCTGAGGGCATGGTGATAGAGCGAGTCTGCCAGCTGCTCCTATCAAGTGTCAGGTAGCATTTTAGTCTTTTGTGGGCAGTATTTTAGGCTCTGTGGACAATCTGTCCTTATAGTACAAAAGCAGCCATAGACAGCATATAAACAAATGAACATCTTGTATTCCAATAAAACTTGTTTTATGGGTACTGAAATTTGAATATCTTATAGTTTTCATGTGTCAAAAATATTATTCTTTGCTGAGCTTGGTGATTCATGCCTACAGTTATGAAAGAGTCATAGGTAAGAGGATTACAGTTCCAGGCCAGTCTGGGCAAAGGTTAGAGAGATTCCATCTCAACAAATAGGCTGGGTATGGTGGTACATAGCTATAATCCCAGCTACGCAGGAGGTAGAGGTAGGAGGATCATGTTCCCAGACCAGCCTGGGCAAAAGTATGAGACCCTATCTGAAAAATAGCCTAAAGCAAAAAAAGGGTTGAAGGTGTTACTCGTGCAGTAGAGTGTCTGCCTAGCAAGCACAAGGCCCTGAGTTCAAATCCTGGTACCACTAAAAAACAATTCCTCTTTTTGATATTTTTCAGCCATTTAAAAACGTAAAGCTTGCAAGTCATGCAAAGCTAGGTGATGGATCAGATGTGGCTGGAGGGCCACAGTTAGCTGACACCTGACGTAAGACTAAGAGCAAAACTCAATGCTTCCTATGGGAGAGCAGGATCTGAGGCTGGTTCCTCCTGGGGGAATCTGGACTGGGTGGGACTGGTGGGTCCACGGTGTGGCCATTGTGATTGCAAGTGTGGACGCTGTCACCCTCACAACCTAAGACGTTGGCTCTAAGATCCTAAGCTTTGAGAGTCAGCATCTTATGTCCAGAGGCCCCTCCACGAGGAGTGATGGAACCCACATTCATGATTTGGGTTGGAAGATGTCGTCAGCCTCATGATGTCCCTTGGCTCAGCCCTCTGAGGAGACCAGAGCCCCGGAGCCCTCTCCTTCTTGTCATCCATGTCAAAGGCACAGCCTGGGGACTCTGCCTCTCTCGGCTCCTTTGTCTCATTTGCTCTCTTGCCTGCCCTGTGCCTATGCTATGAAATCTGTCCTCATGGTCACTTGTCACCTCAGTCCTGCAGGAGCTCTGCCTCATGCAAGTGTGCTTCCTGACCGTCCTCATTCTGCCCTCCTCACCTGGCCCTGCTGTGTACCCTGGCCTGGACCCTCACTGTCCCCATCCTCCTAACCCTCCTGCCATCCCCACCTCCGCCATGCTTCCTCTCCTCTTCTGTCCCATCAGACTCCAGCTGTCCCATCAGGCCACAGCAAGGGGGTGGATGGACCATGTCATCATCAGATCCTGATTTAGGAATTTTTCTTTTTCCATTTTGTATGTTTTGATGAAATATGCAGTAGCAGGGTCTAGAATCATCACTGAATGAAATAGCGCGTTGACAGCACGCACAAGCTCCCACACACATACACATAATCGGTCAGTCAGTCATCAATCAAGTTTTGATAGAGGCTGCTTTGGAAAGGCTGATAGATTTTCACTTTTAACCTACCTTAGCACGTGCATATTTAACTCCCTTCTTCTTTTCTTTACAATTTCCAGATCTTCCGACTCTGACCAGAGCTGATTTACCACGTCAAGAGTTAGCGCAAAGTTACCTCTCACCTGGCCAGACTTCCCAAGTGGTCACCCCCACCGTCCCTCCTGAGACAAGTCACCTAGACCCCACCAGACCCTCAACTCACCCGCAGAAACCATTCAAGACGGGCCATGCTGGCACACAGGTCCCCAGGGATCAAGAAAAAGGCCATCCTCAGAGTTTACACCTGTCCCCAGACACACAAATAGCTCACCTGCGACCTGAAAATGCCACTGCCTTCCCCAGCACTGTGGCTCCTCCAGAGCCTGTGGTTCCCCTGCTCAGCAGGGCCTCGGCAACAGCTTCCACCACTGTTCAACCCCAGGTGGCCACTCCAGCTCCACCTGTACCCACTGTCACCTCCCAGCCCCCGACAGCCCCTGTTCCTATGATTCTGACACGTGCTGTGGTGACAGCCCAGGCTCTGGCCACAGGGACTCCCACGACCACTGTTTGGGGCCCTGCAGACACGAGAGGCTCCCGGATAGCAGTGTCATTTAGTGAGACTCCTGAGCTCCCTTCTCACACAAGGCCCAGGCAGAACCCTGATCCCCTCTCCTTGTCAAATGTGGGGTTCCCTGTGACACACAGAACTGCTTCCCAGGAAAATGAAAATGGGGAGGCCAGTATCGGCGGTTCCTCACCGAGCCAGGTTCTGGAAGGCCAGCATGGCTTTCCCTTTGAAAAGTGGCTCCTCTTGGGGACCCTGCTTTTTGGTGTCGTGCTCCTGGTCATAGGCCTCGCCCTCATGGGAAGGATGCTCGCAGAGTCACTCCACAGGAAGCGGTACTCAAGGCTTGATTACTTGATCAATGGGATCTATGTCGATATCTGAGGTGGGATTTCTGGTCCATTGATGACACAAGCCAAAAGTGCTGGCTTTGTCCTGGCATCCTGACCCCAGCACGAGCTTATGTTTCAAAGACAGGAGACACCGGGTGCCATGGCTCATGCCTGTAATCCCAGCTGCTCAGGAGGCAGAGATCAGGAGGATCATGGATTGAAGCCAGCCTGGGCAAATAGTTCTCGAGACCCATCTCAAAAAACCATCACAAAAAAGGGCTGGTAGAGTGGCTCAAGGTGAAGGCCCCAGTGCCAAAAAAAAAAAAAAAAAAAAGAAAAAGAAAAATAGTCCTACTCCTTCATCCCTCCCTTCCTTCTTCCTTCCTTCTCCTCTTTCTGTTTCTTCTCTTTCTTTTTTCTCCTCTTCTTTGCAATGCTGGAGATGAAACCCAGGGCCTTTGCACATACTAGGCAAACCTACACTGTACTGAGCCACACTCCCATCCCTACCCCTTTCTTTTTCCTGAAAAGAAGGAAGAAAAGAAACCAAATGAGGCAACTTGAGAGATCTGTCTCTAAAATATTAGCTGCAAACACAGCTCTACCCGAAGCAATAAAGTGTGCCTTCCATGTAACTCAGAAATCCAGCCGGCTCTCTACGAGATGAGGTTAGGCATATGGGTTACAATTCACGAATGGTTCTGGTTCCAGATAATGTCGACTGTTTATGATATTAGTCTTAATGGATTCGTTTTTCTTTTGACATGAATTCCAAAAAAACGTAGTCCAGATGTATTTTCTTCCAATTAAATATTGGAACCAATCTTCTGTCACTCAGCACGGTTCCTGCAAGTGACACATCCAGCTGGAAACTTTCGGTTTGTTTCCACCAGCAGTGGTGAAAAGATGAAGTATGCACTCCAAGTTCAAATGAGCCCTTCCCATCAGTGAGCACAGAGTTCCTTTGGGAGAATCTCAGCCCGCAAAGGAGACATTGGAGAGCCACGTCTACGAAGTGTGCAAATCTGCGTGGGAGCTGTCCTAACTTTTGTATTTATTTTTTGGCAGTACTGGGGTTTGAACTCAGGGCCTTGTGCTTGCTAGGCAGATGCTGTACTGCTTAAGTCATAGCCCTTTTGTGTGTGTGTGTGTGTGTGTGTGTGATGGTCTTGCAAGCTATTTGCCCAGGGCTGGCTTTGAACCACAATCCTCCTGACCTCTGCCTCCTGAGGAGCCAGGATTACAGGCATGAGCCACGGGCACCCGGCAGGGTCTCACTTTTTGCCCAGGCCAGCCTGGACCGTGATCATCCTATTTTATGCTTCCTGTCATTGCTGGGATGACAGGAGCTGCCACCACATCCAGCCCTTTTCCATTGAATTGGGGTCTTGCAAACTTCTTGCCAGGCTGGCCTGAACTGTGATCCTCCCAGTTGCAGCCTCTGGAGTAGCTGAGATTACAGGATGACCCACCAGCCTAACTTTTAAGTGTTAACATTTTCTGAACTTATACACTAAGTTTAAAACATAATATCACTTATAAATCTTTATCTAAACTTAACCAGTGATCAAGTATAGATTTATTTGGAACAAAATGAAGAATAAGATTTAGCACTTAGTTTAGTATGCTAGGATTCTTTTTTTTCTTGGTTATTTTATTTGTTATGCTAGGATTTTTATTGGTTAGTTTGCTGGCATTTCTGGGAGATGAGTATAATAAGGAGACCTTGCCAGGCAAGTTGCAGGGAGGGTAAGAATGGGCCTATAAGGCCACCTAGGTCAGTTTGACACCTTGTCGCTTGACTTCAATTTCCTTATCTGCAAAACCAGCGGTTGGTACCAAAAGGAATTTTAGATTGAACGGATGGCATGGGAAGTTTGCACTTTGGACGCTAGGGGGCGGTAGCTGGTCACTAAGTGCAGCAGAGAGGAGAAAGGCAGGAAAGGGACGAACAGGACTGTCCCTCCCTTCTCACCTGGCCTATTGAAAATACTATTGTCATATCTTTTCGAACTTAGAGCTTGACACATATCTCCAAAGGGTTTACAGAGCTCTAAGGAGCCAAATAAAGAAAGCCTTGAGTCAATTTAATTTAACGAGTTTTTCCTGGCTGTCATGTACTCCAGAATCAGATTAGCACCCAGTGCTTTGGGGCTTAGAAACTCCTCCTGTCTTTGTGGATGTGGGGAGCAGAAGTGAGGTTTAGGGAAGCTTATCCAGGTTCTGTGTGTACCTTGCTGCAGCCTGTCCTGTCCTGGGATGGGAACACTGTGGGCCCAGCTCTGCCATTGCCAAGTGGTGTGGGTTCTAGGGACATCCTTCCTAGGTGTCACATTCTTGTCCTATTATTGCCCTTGCTGCAAGGCAGTCAAGGGGGAAGATGCCTGCACTTTTCTCTTTTCTGTTTTCTTTTTCTTCTTTTGGTGGCACTGGGACTTGAACTCAGAACTTTGTACTTACAAAGTCGGTGCTCTGCTTTTGAACCACTCCTTCAGCCTGTTTTGCTCTGGTTATTTTGGGGATGGGGGGGGTCTCATGAACTATTTTCTCCAGGCTGGCCTCAAACCTCGATCCTCCCAATCTCAGCCTCCCAAGTAGCCAGGATTACAGGTGTGAGTCACTAGCACCCAGATCTCTTTCCTGTTTTTTTTCTTTTCTTTTTTTTTTTTTTTGGTGGGACTGGGGTTTGAACTCAGGGCTTTGCACTTGCAAAGCAGGCACTCTACCACTTGAGCCACACCTCCAGGCCTCCTGTTTTTTTTCTAAATTATTACCATAAATTAATTGTACAAAGTGGGTTTCATTGTGATATTTTCAACATGCATCTAACACTTTCATCAAATTCACCCCATCTATAGAACTTTTTCTTTTTTTGTGGTACTGGGGTTTGAACTCAGGGCCTTACTCTTGCCAGGCAGGTGCTCTACCACTTGACCCACACCTCTAGCCCTTTCTTGCTTTAGTTAGTTTTCAGATGGGGTCTCTTGTTTTTGCCTGGGGCCTGTGTCCTAGCTACACCTGCTGAGTAGCTGGAATGACAGGTATGCACGAGCATGTCCAGCTGTTGGTTAAGATGAGGTCTTGCTAACTTTTTGCCCGGGCTGGTCTCAAACCTTGATCCTCCTGATCTCCGCCTCTCAAGTAGCTGGGATTACAGATGTGAGTCACTGAGCCTGGCCTACAAAATCTTATTGCAGAATGTTTTTCCTTATTTTGCTGATGAGGAGACTGAGGCACCGAGAGGTTTGATGACTTGCCCAGGTAATTTGGTTCCAGAGTCCCCACTAGTAACATTCTCATAATAGGAATGACAGTGCAGTAGAGAAGACACAGTCTAGATAACAGCTCTTAAGTGGCATGGAACTGAATGTGACTGTGAGCCCAGAGCGCAGACATTGAAAAGTCAGGGCTCACTCTCCAGGGGCTTTGCTTTCTTGACACTGAGAGACTGTGGTTTTGTGTGGTCACTGACATGTGACAAAGTTGAAGTCACTCTTTCATTGGGCACATGATGGAGAACCATTCCACTCCCATGTGCCACAGTAAATCATCCCACTTGCCACCCAGTCCCCTCTGCTCCAGGAAGCTTCAAAGTCAGACCCTGCTGTGTCCTCAGCCAGCCTTCACTGCATAATTATCCATTTTCTCTGTATTCCTCAAAGTTCATGCATTGAATGATCATGGTGACTCGTGCCTATAATCCCAGCTCCTCAGGAGGCAGAGGTAGGAGGATCACAGTCCAAGGCAGGCCTGAGGCAAAAAGTTGAGACCCTAGCTGAAAAATAACCAAAGCAAAAAGGGTTAGAGGAGTGGCTCAAATGTAGAGCACCTGCCTAGCAAGAGCAAAGCCCTGGGTTCAAACCCCAGTACTGCCAAAAACAAAAGTTCACGTGTTGGGAACTTCATTCCCAATGCGACGGGGTTCGGAAGTGAACAGACTGGGCTGGGGATGTGACTCAGTGCTGAGTGCTCGCCTAGGGTCTGTAAAGCCCTGAGTTTGATCCCCAACACTGCACTGCAGCCCCCAAAAGCGACCAGATCACAGGGCTGTGCCCTCGTGAATGGATGGATGCTGGGGGTGGGGGAGCCTGGCTCGCTTCCTCTGCCATGTCCCCTCTCCTCCTCTTCTTCTTCCACGGTGGAGGATGCGGTTCTTACACCATGGACTTCCCAGCCTCCAGAACTGTGAGAAATGAACCTCTGTTCACTGTAAGTCACCCAGTCTCAGGCTTTGTGTCACAGCAGCACGCAGCGTGGGAAGGCAACCTCCCTCCTTCTTTCTCCTTAGGTTGCTCATATCACACATTCCCTCCTATGACTTCAAGTAACCCCAAAACACAGCTCAAGTGTCAGAGCACTTGCCCAGCAAGTATGAGAGGCCCTGGGTTCAAATTCCCAGTACCACAAATAACAAACAACAACAATGAAAACACAGTGCACATTACTCTCTGTGGCCCCCACTGTCTGTGGGGTCATTACCAACTGAATGTGGCATAACCAGTGTCCACACTGCCATGCCACCCAGTCTGAACACCTACCCCTCTACCTGACTCCCAAAAGCCTGGGCTGCAGCAATGCCACCCCTTTCATCATTTCTCCAATGTGTCAGGCACGTTGGTCAATTTCCTCTCATCCTTCAGGGTCAAGATCAACCATTGCCTCCACCATGGCCTCCCAGAGTCTCCGGGGATGGGGGTGGGGGGGTGTCATTCCTCTTGGCTTTCTGACACAGCTCTGGGTTTATACCATTGGTATAAACTTCCCAGAATCTCCTCACTTACCAGTTACGCTGCAGGACACCAGGGTGCGGGCGAGGCCCAGATGCTCCCGGTCCCCCACACTGCGTCTCCATCATGATCCTAAGTGGATCTGGGGCCCCAGCCCGGGGCAGTGATGTGACCTGGCGGTGTCGGCAGCTGCATCTGCATCATAAGGAGAAAACCCATCCAGGCTGCGCTACATGTGTTTCAGGAGAGTGGAGTAAAACCCAGTGCTCCAGCCATCTCATTCAACATCCTTCACCACCCAGGTCTACTGAGAGACAGATTTGTGTCTGGGACAATGGAGTATGTAGAACACGGGTACCCAGACATCGGGACGAGGACAGTCCGGTTTTGACTTTCAATCTCACTGTATGTCGCATTATTTATAGTTTCCATAGTAACCGCTTGTTTTCCTTTGTTCTGTTTACATTTAAATGAAAGAAAATGGGATACATAGGATTTGTTAAAGACCCAATTCTGTAATTCCGA